AGCAGGGAGCCCGATGCGGGACTCGATCCCAGGACTCCAGGATCATGACCTGAGCCGAAGGCAGTTGCTTAACCAACTGAGCCACCCAGGCACCCTGAAATAGTTTAGTTTTAAGACAGAAGGTTTGTGTTTGGGCTTAATAATAATCCTTACCTTAAATTCAAAGTGAAGTTTATTTATTTTTTTTTTAAAGTCTGGATCATGGCTAGATAATAAAAGGCATGTTAATTTTGAATGCTGGGTGTGAAAAGAGCCTCAGAAGCTGGATTGATAGTCACTGGAATAATTGCTGTAGTGTTGAGTGGTGTTGAGCTGCCACCAGACAGCTGTTCAGAAGAACCTTACGGGACCTTGAAGCACAGAGCTCAAACAGCTGGGTCTGATCGGCTGGGCTCTCCACATAGAGTGGGTCTCTGCAGAGGGATTTAAAAATCCCTTGTTTTGTGGTTATGATTAGAAATAACAGTTTCATATAGAGTGATTTCTGTTATGTTATCTGATTGCAGGTGAAGAACTAAATGGCTTTTCCCTTTCACCGCCTGTAATTTATTTGTTTTTTCTAAATAAGAAGGGTCCTGAAATGGAATGTTAGTGCTGAGTTAAGAAAGGCAGCTAGACAAAGAAAGGGTGTTGTTGGCATGGCGTTCTTGTGTTCCTTTTTCATTTTTCTTTATCATCTCCTTTCCATCTAGGATATTATAATATGTGCATTAGGGAAAAGTCTCAATCTGTATTTCTTGAGAGTCTATTCTTTTATAAGATGAACCTGACAATGTGTAATAGCTTCTAACAATTGCTAGGAAGTGATCTAAACACGCAGAGGGTTGCATAGTATTTTGCTATAGAATATTACGAGTGGAATTTAAAACTGACTTGAGAGTGGTTTGTTTTTGGTTTCCTTAAGCTGTTCTTTTGCCTAACATGTTAAAGCAGTAATAAAAAACCCCACATACTTGTATTTCTATTTTTGATCTCTAGAAACATGAATATTCCTTTGTCTAGTTTATTTTTTTTTCAAATTTACAGCTTTTAAAAAAATTCTATATTCTTAAGTCTATCAGTATTATAACTTGGATGGATTTCTCTAAGAACACACCTTTCCAACAGATTTTAGCAGGCATTTATTGAACTCTTGTCTGCTCTTTGATATATGCAGTATAATAATTGGTAAATTTCATGGAAATGACATTTAATACCCAGAAATGACTTTTATATACCTTTTTCTTTTCTTTTTTTTTTTTTAAAGATTTTATTTATTTATTCATGAGAGACAGAGAGAGAGAGAGAGGCAGAGGGAGAAGCAGGCCTCCCGCAGGGCAGAGAGCCCAATGCGGGGCTCGATCCCAGGACCCTGGGATCATGACCTGAGCCGAAGGCAGATGCTTAACCCACTGAGCCACCCAGGCGCCCCTAAACTTTACTTTATTCTTGATTAAGCTCTTCTTTTTGATTTTTCTTTTTCTTTTATTTTTAGTAAAATGTTTTTCTGATTATAAAACTGAAGACATTGTAGGAATTTAGAAAATAAGGCAGAAGTGCATAAAATAGGGTAATGTAAACAAAATTAAAATAGAAGCTTTTACATTGCCTACCACGTGTACTTTATTATTTGTAACATAATTTAAAAGATTATTTTACACATATTTTGTCCTGATAGTATTTTGAAGTTTTCATGTAGCACTAGAGCTGGAAGGACCTTTTGAGTTCACTCACTCAGACACAGACCTAGGTGAGTATAATTACTTGCCAAGAAGCTGCAAGTTGATAGATGGGTTTCTCTCTTAGTTGCCAGTTTTTCCCTTTACCCCTCACTCTCTTCAAAGATAATCTTTTTTCCATTGCACCTTTCTAAAAAATAGGCCCCTGTGTTCTTACTCTGAGTTGACATTTACTATTCTCCATTTAATAAATCATACTCTAGTTATCTCCTTTCCTTCAATTTCCCATGTCCCTACTTTTTTTTTTCTTTCTTTCTTGGCTGCTGCATATTCCCCTCAATGATGCTAGCTATAGAGGTTTTACAGACTGGGGCGGGGGTGCGGTCTGAGACTTGCCTGCAGTTAGATAGTGAGAGGCTGGGAAACTTGGTAGCCACGTTTTCTGACTCAGGTTCAGGGCTGTTTCCCTGTTGGCTTGTAGGTTCTCTTCCCATCCTTGCAAGTTTTTTTGGTTAACTTCTGGGTAGTGGTATTTAAGCGATGTTAGGCAGGGCCTTGGGGATTTCCAGGAGCTAAGACCTTACGAAATAGGAGAAGCACCTTCTTCAGCCAGAATAGTTTTAAATTTCTCTATCTTTGGGGAGCTGGGGGGAGGGGGGAGGGGATGTCCTTTCCTCTATTCATTACTGATATCAGATTTTATGATAAATAATATATCTTGAGGAGTATCTTCATTAGTTGATAAACTTTAGCCTCTTAGATCATGAGAAAGGAAAAAGCCACCCCTCTCGATATTATCCCATTGTATATCTTAATAGCATTTGGTGTTGGGTCATACCAGTTTCATCGTGCTGCCTCTTAGGACATACAGTTTCCTTTTGGTTATGTGACTCACGTTAGTGAAGTGCTTCTTAAACTTTATTTAAAATAGACATAACCTTGGGGCACCTGGCTGGCTCAGTCGGTAGAGCGTGTGACTCTTGATCTCAGGGTTGGAAGTTTGAGCCCCATGTTGGGTATAGAGTTTACTTTAAAATAAAAAAATCTTAAATAAATAAAAAATTAAAAAAATAAAATTGGCATAGTCTTTAAAATGCTGACTCCAGAAAACATTTTTTAATGATATAGAGATGGTAGCAGTATAATGTTTTGGAGTTAGGAGTTTCATATATTGCTTATAGCATTTCTGTTATTTCTGTCTGGATTTCTGACTGGCCAAATTAATTGGTTGGTCACAGGTCTGTTTGGCTTGCGGAAGACTCTTCATAGGCACTTTGAAAGCGCCTCTAAGTTTTGTTTTTCTAACACCCAAACTGGAAACTTCTGTCGTAGCTAGACCATAATAACCTAGTATAATTATGTTACTTACCTTAAAATAAGAAAACCAGGGCTGTCAAGTCAGACTTCAGAGTGAGAGGTGGGATCTTACAGATAACTAGTTAGACCTCTTCATTTTTCAGGTGTGCCACTGGCTTAGTGAGGTTAGTTACAGTCTGCCCAGAGTCTCAGAGGTACTTGTTGGCAGACTCGGGAAGAAGGGTCTAGGTCTGTCTCTCACGTCGTATTCTTTGTATTTTCGCTACATAACAGGTGTATTGAATTGTACTGAAAGTACAATTCAGATATTTCTAAATGAGTTACAGTAACTTTAAAACTTTTTTTATACCTAAATTTTGTTTTTCGCCACTTACAGAACTCTGTAACATCAGAGGTAGACAGAGACGTTTTGGGGTCTACAAATCTAGGCTCAAATGTTACCTCTGAATCTTGGGTACTTCATGCCTTTCATCAGCTCTCCTTTAGATTCCACCTTGTTGCTCCTTCTGTCTACCTCCCACATCAGAAATACAGTGAAGAGGTTGATTGAAGGAGAGGCATTTGAACTTAAATTTTAGTAGAAGCCTGTGAGAAAAAAAAAAATGGATTTCTTAGTTTATAGCATGGTTTTTGCAAATGCAGTTTAAGTGTAAGTTCTCGAGGCAGGAATTATATTTAGGATCACTCTTAAGATGAATGCCTGCTTCCGATACAGAGTGTCAGATGCTACTCTGTTTTTAATTGAGTGATTATTCTTCTTTTTTTTTTTTTAAGATTTTCTTTATTTAACAGAGAGAAAGAGCACAAGCAGGGGGAGTGGCAGGCAGAGGCAGAGAGAGAAGCAGGCTCCCTGCTGAGAGGGAGCCTGATGTGGGACTCGATCCCAGGACCCTGGGATCATGACCTGAGCCGAAGGC